AGACATGAATGGGCAACATACTCCAAAGAAGACATCAGATGGCCAACAATAACATGAAAAATGCTCCCACATCACTCATCATCAGGGAAATACAAGTATTTCAATGGATCACCACACTGCACACCTGTCAGAATACAACATTAACAAACTCAGGCAACATGAATGTTGGTGAGGATGTGAAAGAAAAGGGATCTGCATTGTTATGGTCCTGGGACTACAAGGGGGTCCTGACCACTCTGGTGGGCATATGGGTTCACACATAAAAACCAGCCTAGAGACCCTCCCCCTCAGTCTAACAATTCTCTCTGTTTACATTCCTATCAAGGGACTCCAGACCTGCCCTGTTTCGAGACCCTATCACACAATATTCTTACACTGTGCAGTATAGTAAAATGTAACTTTCATCTCCTTTGCTCATCTCATCAGCACTCCATCTGTCATCTCCTCTCTGAAAAGCTGGACTGCTGCCTGTACCACCTATCAAACCATGCCATAAAACATATGGAAAAACAAATGTCCATCGATAGATAAATGGATAAAAAGAATGTGTGGTATATATGCTATATGATAGATGATATTCAGCAATCAAAAAGAATGCGATCTTGCCATTTACAACTACCATGGTGGAACAAGAGAATTGATATGCTCGCCCGAGTGAATCAAACAAATATCCTCCTCGATATGAGGGACTTTAGAAGACAAAACAAATAATCAACACTAAAGGGAAGAACAAAAGGAAATAATAAAACAAGGGAAGGGGGATAAAACAGAAGAGACTCTTAATATAGAGAATAAACAAGAGGGTTACTAGGGGTTTAATGGGAAGGGGAGATGGGCTAATGGATGGGCACATTAAAATCTGCCTCTTGAAATCATTGTTACCATATGCTAACTAACTTGAATGTAGAATTTAAAAAAATAAATAAAATAAAAAAATAAAATAAAACAGAGCCTGGGTGGCTCAGTCAGGTAAGTCTGACTTGGCTCAGGTCATGATCTGCCAGTTCATGAGTTGAGAGGCCCAGCATTGGAGTTTTCACTGACAGCTGACCTGGAACATTTGATTCACAATGTATGCTCCCTCTCTCTCTGCCCAGCTCACTTACTCTCTCTCTCAATAATAAGCAAAACATTAAAAAATTACAAAAAATAAACAAAAAAAATAAATCTAGCTCTGAAAAAAAAATAAATAAAATAAATAAAAATAAAATGTGGTAGAAGAGAGGAGATTTTTAATATAGAATTTTTATAATTAACCAACAAGCTCAGAGATGCAAGGAAAACAGGTACAACCCCCCTAAAATTAAAAATTGTATTTGAGAAGGGAAGTAGTCTGGGTGGCTCATGCCAGTTAAGTCGACTTTGTGGCTCAGGTCATGATCTCTACGGTTTGTGGTTTGACTATTTATCAGGCTCTGTGCTGACAGCTCAGAGCCTGGAGCCTACCGATTCTGTGTCTCCCTCTCTCTCTGTTCCTCCCCCGCTCATGCTCTGTCTCTCCTTCAAAAACAAATTAAAAAAAAAACATTCATTAAAGTGTTGATGATGACCCATACTTCTACAAATATACAGAAGTAGAGAATGGTCACTTAAAACAAAAAACTTAAAAAATATAAATATGTACTTTAAGAGATTTTTCTCTACCCACTGGTACAGGCTTACTGGTAGTTTTCTCCAAAAGAAAGTAATTCTTAAGGGCACCCTGGAGACAGCTCGGTGGATTAGAGCTCATTAGCTGGCTCAGGTCAAGATCTTGCAGTGTGTGAGTTTCAGCCCCGCGTCGAGACTTCCTGGCCTTTGACAGCTCAGAGCCTGAAGCCTGTTTAGGACTATATTATTAGCTTCCTTCTGTGCACTGCCTCTCCCCACTTCACTCTGTCTCTGTCTTTCTCTTTTCTCTCTCTCTTGTATCTCTCTCTCTCTCAAAAATAAAGATTAAAAAAAAAAAATTGTTTTTAAAGTAATTCCTAGTGGCTTATAGCTTTTTAAACACTGCCCCCTAATGTTCACACTCTGAAATGATAAGAGGACCTTGCTAACAAAAATAATCTGGTCCTTCCTCCCCTGTGATCAGTCTAGCATTTTTGTCCTGCAGACCAGATTTCACATACTGAGGCAATTTCAACCACACAACTGTCAGAGTGCATTAAAGTAAATCTCTCAACCATTCTAAGATTACTCTCATCAGCAATAAGGCCAACATGTGAGTGAGAACAGACTATTTGGGCTTGGACAGCACTGACAGAACAGCAATGCCACTGGGAAACATCAGGAAAGTCTAGGATCCCAATCATAACATGTGCAACTTTAGACTGATCTAATCAGTCTTATTAAAAAATATCAAAAACAAACACTGATTACCAAGAATATCAAACTTTTAAAAAAGAGATGGCCCTTACTTTATATACACAAATTCATGACTCATAAATGACCTTTGCTTCCAAAAGAATCTGTTGAAATTTAAACTCCCTGATGAGCAAACTTGTTCATGACTTCCACCACTGAAAATATGATTAACAACAAATGAAAGAGAAGAGCAAGGATATGTTATTCTGAAGTCAAGCTGTTCGGTGTCTTATGGTCGCAAAGTCCATGTCATTACTTAACAATGATATATGTCTAAGTTTGCAAAGCATAGGGCACTTAATATTTAGTCAAGAGGCCTGAGTTTTAAACCCATCTGCCATTAAATATCTGTGTGACCAGAGGTCCCTTAGATGTTCTGGACCTGTTTCCTTATCAGGAAATAAAGGAGAATGGACTGTATGGATGTTATTCTAATGATTGTCAGGAGATGGGGATGTAAAGGATTACAGAATTATGGAAGGTATTTTTCCAGACTACAAATGCTTTTCCCCATCACTTCTTTATTTCCCCATCTGTAACACTGAAAAGAATATGAAATCCCCATTCTCCTCATAGCTGACAATTTCTGAATTATATAGTCTATCTCCAAGGCCCTTTGCCACACCAAAATGTTAATACGGGATCTGAGAACTGTAAGAAAACACAGAGATTCTCTAATCACAAGCCAAGGCCCAGAAGAACTCTTGGCTCTAAACATTTAGTTATAGTATGTGGAACTTTGAGAACTGTGGGGCTCCCCATGTGGATTATTAGCATTTTATTAGGCTGGGGGATATGATAAAATACATTATTATTCCCAAACTTTACCCCTCTTGAAATCCACACCTTGCCATGTGACTCCGTAGTTCCTGCCACGTAGAGTAGAATATATTTCGACCACACATTGGTAGTGGCTTTTGGCCATATGACTTTCCTTGACCAAAGTAAAGTAAGCAAATCAGATGTGAGCACATGCTTTAAATGTGCTTGTGAAGTTGGGCTTGTTCTCTGCACGCTTGCCTTTCACTATGAGAAGATGCATTTGGTAGCCACTGATCCAAGGGGTATAAGAGACATGGAGAACAGGCCAGGCGCCCAACATAAAACTTGGAGCCCAATCTAACCAGTCATAGATCAGCCAAATCGCAGCCAACCCAAATTCATGAGAATGAGAAATAAAGACTTACTGTCATATGAGATTTTGCATTTGCCAATTACATAGCATTTTTATGATAACAGGATAATTCAGAAGATAATATTTTACCTATTTTAATAGTTCAGACTTCAACATTTCCATTGGACTGTGATATTTTATGGAAAAATCTTTCCCTCTCTCTGACACATATAAATATTGTCATACAGATACAAAAACAAAAGTGTGATTACAGGTCTATAAAATAGCACATCTAAGAAAGACTCAGATCTAGAGGCAAAGAGTCATCTACTATGTACAGACTCTGTCTCTCATGCTGATTCAGTAGAGAAGTTAACGATCATTGGGCCCTTCATCCTCTTTAAAATAATATCAGTCAAACATTGCAGTTATAGCCTAATTTATATGAAAATAGCACCACAAAACTGTACCATGAAAAGCACTATTTTTACTAAAGCAATATGTCACAGTCAAAGTATTATTGTATCCCAAGTAACCCGAATGCATAGAAACAGAAGTATTTTGGCTATTACTTTATGACTAACAGATATCTTTAATCCTATCACTCTTCGACTACCTCTACCATGACTACTCTAATTCAGGCCACCAACATCTCTAGCCTGGACTAGTTCAATAGCTTCACAACTGTTCTTCCACTTCTACCCTTGTCTTCTACAATCTTTTTCTCAACACGGTACCTAAACTCATCCTTAAAAAAAAAAATGTCACATCATATCATTCTTCTGCTCAAAACACTCCATTGGCTTATACACTTATTCAAAATAAAAGTCAAACTCCTTCAGTAAGAGTCACCCTGAACTCCATGATCGTGCTAACCAACATCTCCCTGAGTTTCTTCCTATTACATTCCTCTTGGCTCACTCTGCCTTGCTGGTCCTCAAACATGCCCAGCACATTCCTGCCTCAGGTCCTTTGCACTTGCTGTTTTATTTTTATTTTTTTTATGTTTATTTATTTCTGAGACAGAGAGAAACAGAGCATGAGTGGGAGAGGGGCAGAGAGAGAGAGGGAGACACAGAATCTGAAGCAGGCTCCAGGCTCTGAGCTGTCAGCACACAGCCCGACACGGGGCTCTAACTCACAGAGTGTGATGAGATCATGACCTGAGCTGAAGTCAGACACTCAACCAACTGAGCCACCCAGGCGCCCCGAGACACTGTGCTATCTTAAAGCCAACTAATATTTCACCTATATTTCTATGTATTAATTAATAACAGTACTTCGTAAATGTTTGTAGAATATCAGTAGAAAAATGGGCAAAAAACTACAGACATACAATACAAGAAGAAATACAAACAGCCAATCAAAGCATGAAAATCTTCATTTAGGTTAATGTTCTTTAACGATGAGTTGGGGGTGAGGGCAAGGGAGAACGGAATCACTTCAGGAAAGCCAACACTAGCAAGAGGTTTCTTACGTACATAAAGAAACCCAATAACTGAAAAGTCTACTCACTGGGGAGGGTGTGGGGTACAGATACCTGTGATGGAACAATAGATGATGTGAGGAGCAATCTTGTCTATATCTTCATATCCTAGGCCCATTGCAGACAGTTTGCCAGGGACATAGTTTTCCACAAACACATCACAAACAGCTGCGAGCTGAGGAAAGAGGTGAAGATGAGTCAGACTTCTTCAGGGACCTTCCAGACTTTCAACAAGCCCCCACATGACACAATTCTAGTTTCAGTAAACACAGTTGATCTTCACTTTGTAATAGTCCAGAAAAACAACAAGAAAAGTAGAATTACAAAGTAGAATTAAATAAACATAAAGGCTCTGGTCAACTACTTGAGATATTACTGCCAATAAAACAATGGCCATTAAAATATTCGGTAACTACCGTGGCGTTAAGTGGATTCTGCTTATGTTAAATGTTAAGAAATATCTAGGTTACATGGTCCCAACATATTCTCAGAAGTTTCAGTAGGAAAGGTAAAATATATGTATAAAAATATATGAAAAACATCTTCTAAACCCTTTATAAAAAACTAAATATGATGTTTTTTGCTATTCATCATGGTCACTATGTAATGTTCCTCATTACAACCTGAACATATAGGTGTTTAATACATGTAAACATGATTCAGAAATGTCTTCATACTTTTCAGATGCTTCCTTTCCAAAGAGTTCTAAATGTATTTAATTAATCATTTAAATATATATATTCATATTAATATAATATATATACATATATACATATATATAATATATATAAATATGCATATTAAACCATAGCTCAGTGAATCAGTAAGTCAGAAACAAGGCCCAGATTTTGATTCCCAGATCACTCCAATCCGAATTAGAGGACAATGAACCACTGTAAACCTTAACCTTAAATTTTCAAAATTTCAATTGTGACTACACATCTTTTAAGGTATGTTTTAAAGTCATCCAAAAATTATACTATTTCACCCAGAGAAATTCATTACAGTAATCCTTTTTTTTAAAGAATTTATTTTTAAGTAATCTCTACACCCAACGTGGGGCTCGAACCTACAATCCCAAGATCAAGAATCACATACTCCACCAGCCAGGGCCCCCATTACAGTAATTCTTGAACATATTCAAGTGCCTAAAAACTATTCAACAATTTTTTTAATTCCCATGGTGACATAGACTTAAATATATCCACACATACAAACTAATGTAATAGAGTAAGACTCTAGATAAAAGATGGGCAAACTTTTTCCATAAAAGGTCAAATAGTAAATATTTCAGCCTTTGAAGGCCACATACATTCCCTGTCAGATACTCTTCTTTATTTTCCTTCAGCAATCTTTAAAAATGTAAAATCGATTCTTAGTCCAAGGACCATACAGAAACAAACCTGATATGACCCACATTATCTACAAACCTCTGCTCTAGATTAAAAAGACTGAATTAGCATCAACTTTAGATGGAAACATGTAAATAAACTGAATGCCTATATGTTACTGTGTCACTGAATTTGGAATATATATATGGAATTGTCAGATTTAACAAAATTTGGAGGGAGGGGATCTCAGGAAACATCTCAAGGAAATAAGCTGTCATCCTCCAGAGCTCCTGAAACAGTGGCACCAGGAGCCAGGTAAACACTTCCCTGGAGAGAAATGATAAATATATTAAGACATAGGACAGAGATAGAAAGTTGAAGTATGCACTCCAAATCTCAAGCCATATAGGTGTCTTTCCAAATTTCAGGTACCAATTAACATTTGAGCTGTGTGTAAGCAACTCCATACCGGGAGAGTCCCAATAAAGATGCATTTACTTATTTATTGTTAATGATTCTACCAAGTACTGCTTGCTTAGGGATTTGGAGGAAGGCCAAGTGTTTATTTTAAATAAAACAAAATGGTACACTTTAATTTATTCCACAAATTCTTCTGAGCCTCTATTTACTATTGACAAGGCACTCTTGTGGGCTGTAAAGAAAACAAACTACATCAAACACATCTAGACTTCTACACTGGTCATCTCTTGCTGCATATATTCTGCATGGCGCACTATATAGCACCTTATGCAAATGACATTTAATGAATTATTTAATTTTTAAAAACTCTGTGTGGGTTCCCCAAGAAGTTAAACATAGAATTACCATATGACCCAGCAATGCCTCTCCTAGGTATATACTTAAAAGAACTAAAATCAGGGACCCAAACAGATACTTGTATGCCAATGTTCAAGGCAGCAGTATTATTTGCAATAGCCAAAAGGTGGAAATAATCCAAGTGTCCATCAGCAGACAAATGTATCCATCCATAAAGTGGAATATTATTCATAAAAAGAGGATGAAGTTCTGATACATGCTAGAACATACACAAACCTTTAAAATATTATATAAATGGGCTCCTGGGTGGCTCAGTCAGAAGGGTGTCCGACTTCAGCTCAGGTCATGATCTCGCGGTCCGTGAGTTCAAGCCCCGCGTTGGGCTCTGTGCTGACAGCTCAGAGCCTGGAGCCTGTTTCAGATTCTGTGTCTCCCTCTCTCTCTGACCCTCCCCCATTCATCCTCTGTCTCTCTCTGTCTCAGGGGCAAATAAACGTTTAAAAAAAATTTTTTTTAATATTATGCTAAATGACATTAATCAGACACAAAAATACAAATATTGTATAATTTCACTTATATAAAATACTCACAATAGGCAAACCCATAGAGACACAAAGTAGATGAAAGATTATCAGGGGCTGGAGTGAGTGTGAAGTGGAATTATTGCTTAATGGATACAGTTTCTGTCTGGGGTGATGCAACATTTTAGAAATAGATAGTAGTGGGCCACCTGGGTGGCTCAGTCGGTTAAGTGTCCAACTCTTGGTTTCCGGTCAGATCATAATCTCATGGTTCGTGAGTTCAAGCCCCACATCGGGCTCTGTACTGACAGTTGCAGAGCCTGCTTGGGATTCTCTGTCTCCCTCACTCTCTCTGCCCCTCCCCTGCTCACTCTCTATCTCTTTGTCTCAAAATAAATAAAACATTTAAAAACAATAGCAGTACTGATTATACAGTATTAGGAATATATTAATGCCACTGAACTGTGTACTTAAAAATGGTTAAAATGGAAATTTTTATGCTCTATATATTTTACCACAACAAAAAAATTTTTAACTATGTAAGGTATTTGTATTTTTAGACTTCTAAGGAATCCTAAATCACATCTCAATCTACATAAAGTATATAGATGGACCACAAACAAATGCACTATTTCAATAACAGAAGGAAATAAATATAATGAGTAATTTATATTAATATAAAAGTATAAAAATATTTCAAGTAACCAAAAAAAGCAGATTAAAAAACAATTACATGGTATTATCTCACGTTTTCGGGAAAAATGAGTATACAAGGACATAAAGAGATTGGATATGATATACTAAAATATTAATGTCTTTGCATGAACTTGTATTATTTCTTGGGTAACATGAAAAAAAAATGGTAACTAAAAAGAGCTGTGCTCAGAGTACCATGTAGTCTGGCTCTACAACATTACAAGAAAAATACAGAAAAGTTGAGTTTAAGAGCTAAATATTTCTACTAATAAAGATGCACAGTAGTTTTTTTATGATTACCCAAGAAATCAACATGTATGCATTTTGATATTTATTTATTAAGAAATACCCCAAAAAAGTTTATAGGGCAGAAATTATTCCTTTCTCCATTTTACAAATATTTATTTTAGATATGTACTAGCCACTTACTAGATATTGATTCCAAGCTGGTCTGTCATTGACCATATTCTGTCTCCCTCTCTGTTTTAGGATATTCACCCATTTCAAGATTATATCTATTCCCTACAGCTTTAGCTAATCATTCATAAGTATTCTAAGAAAATAGTGCAAAACTCAGAGCCATGAGAAATTGATCTCCCCACTAACTACAAGTATTATATGTGATAGTTACCTCAGTAGAGACCAAATGTTTACTGCATTTCCCTGATACAATGATCTACCAGGAAATAAAGGGAGAGAAGAAGACTAGTTCCCAGTTTTACTGGTATTATATCCTCTTCCTCATCTAAGTGCTTACAAATCATTGAAAAAATCTATTCTAGAATATGGCCCAGAATAAAAAGCAAGCACAATTTTGTATGACTTAGAGAACCTACTATCTTTTTTCTTTCTGAAAGGAGATAAAAAAAATTCTTCCCTCTAGTCACAGAGTAAATAAGAACTAAAATTCATTTGAAATATAGACTATCTAATTCTGAGTTATCTTTATTATATGTAATTTAAGAACAGACTAGAGATCAGAAATAGTACAGTAATTTTTTAAATGTTATATCAAATAATGTGCTTACTGGTAAGAAATGTATTCTAAAAGATTTAAGTGCCAAGTTTCATGATATCTCCCACTTTAAAATAGTTCAAACACACACACACACACACACACACACACACACACACACACACACACAGGTAGGTACACATATGTAAATATGCAAATATAGCAAAATATTAAAATTATTACATGTAGGATAGGGTTATTGAAAGTTCATTATACTATTCTTTCAACTTTTCTGTACGTTTGAATTTTTCATAATAAAATGTTGGAAGAAAATAAAATCCATGACATTGCTCTATGGACCATAATATGTGCACACAATATGGATATTGTGACTATTGACTAACATAGAGAATTATTTGAAATATAAATGACATATTAGAAAGTTATCAAATCATATTGCCATGAAAATACCAGGCTCTACATAGATTTTCGAAGCAGAGTTTTGTTTTTTGCACAAGCTGTTTTTGGTTAGCCTTGTACAAAGGAGTCATATTTTTTGGAGCTCTCATGTATCCAGCTGATTGGTTTGTAAGCTACTTTGGAACTATTTCTATAAACTAAACTCATTATGTTAGCAATCATAGCCACCACGGTCTGTATACAGAGGTTGTTTTACTACTCTTAAGCTAAAAGAGAAATCCATGCCAGAAAGATTAAAAAGACTAAGCAAAAGATAATTTTTCCCCTAGGCAATAAGATACATAACATGAATGGTACAACCAGCAATGGATATGAATAATGTCCCCATACAATCTATTTAAGTTTAATATGAGTTGAAATGTACTTTATTGTTATCAATCAGACATGAAGAGAAATCAAGCCCATGATGAAATTTATTTAAAGTTGTTACAGTATAGTAGAAAACTGGCAAGATCCAAGGAGAATTAGAAGCAAGTCCTGGAGATTCATTTACTTTGGTCTGAACTACACAAGCAGGTCCAAAATACTCAAATGTACCTTTATGTCTTAGTATCAAGAGTTATGAACTCCACCCAAATACTGCCTCATTGAGAAGCTCTAATGAAATTGCAAAGTATGGGTTTAATCAAATCTGAAACCTTGACTTTTGAGGATAAAATATCAGAATGCCCTGAAATAGAAGCAAAGAAGCAGGAGCTATGAATACTAAAGATGAAACTGAGAGACAGGACAGAAAGAAGAATTGAGGCAAGAACAATTGCCTAAAACAAAATTAAATAAAATCAACTAACCACTGAAGAGAAAATAAAAAGAATGGTCTGAAAATGCAGACAATGGGAATTGGGTTCAAAGTGACGGTAGGCCATTGCAGAAAAAATAGAGCAGGGCAACAACAATGGAGAAAAATTTAGAAAAATCAAACTACGGTTCAATTGAAAAAGAAAACAAACAAACAAAAAAAACGTAAGTTATACTGTAGAAAAGATATGTGGAAATAAGGCACTAAGATCAGGACAATTACCACGCCTTGTGTTCAAAATATATCTAGTAAACAAAAATTCTAAATTTGTTGGAATGACCCATGAGATCCAAAGCGGATGGTCACTGATTCTAATCCTAATGATTAAAAGAAATTATCTTTCGGGGCGCCTGGGTGGCGCAGTCGGTTAAGCGTCCGACTTCAGCCAGGTCACGATCTCGCGGTCCGTGAGTTCGAGCCCCGCATCAGGCTCTGGGCTGATGGCTCAGAGCCTGGAGCCTGTTTCCGATTCTGTGTCTCCCTCTCTCTCTGCTCCTCCCCCGTTCATGCTCTGTCTCTCTCTGTCCCAAAAATAAATAAACGTTGAAAAAAAATAAAAAAAATAAAAAAATAAAAAATAAAAGAAATTATCTTTCAATCAACCAGATAGATAAGGAAAGTAGCCAACAGAGCAATGATGTCAAAGTTGACGCTTTGATATGAAACAAATTTGGGGATTTGGTTCTCTAATCAAGTACATCCACTAGGGTAGATTTTAAACTTTAACAAAGACAGCAAGCAAGTTCTATCTCACATGATGAATCCAATTTCATGTGCATCAAGAACAACAATAATAGGGGCGCCTGGGTGTCTCAGTCGGTTAAGCATCCGACTTTGGCTCAGGTCATGATCTCACGGTCCGTGAGTTCGAGCTCTGCGTCGGGCTCTGTGCTGACAGCTCAGAGCCTGGAGCCTGCTTCAGATTCTGTGTCTCCCTCTCTCTCTGACCCTCCCCCGTTCATGCTCTGTCTCTCTCTGTCTCAAAAATAAACATTAAAAAAAATTTTTTTTAATAAAAAAAGAACAACAATAATAGCTAATACTTAATGAGTACTAACTATGGCAAACACTCTTCTATATATTTTACACATATCAACTCAATTCTAACAAGTTTCAGACGCAGGTACTATTATTATCCCCATTTTACTGGTAAGGAATGAAGGGCATAAAGATGTTAACTAAGGGGCGCCTGGGTGGCTCAGTCAATCTTCCAACTCTTGATCTCAGCTTAAGTTATGATCTCACGGCTGTGAGATCGAGCCCCCATGTCGGGCTCCATGCTGAGCATAAAGCCTACTTGGGATTCTCTCTCTCTTACCCTCTCTCTCTGCCCCTCCCCTGCTCATTCTCTCTAAATAAACAAACAAACATTTTTTAAAAAAATGTTAAGTAACAATCAAAAAATAAACTTAAGTAACCTACCTGCAGTCACATAGCTAGTAAGTAGAGAAGGCAGGAATTGAATCTCAGCACTGGAACACTAAGGTGTGCACCAAACCATCACACAATCTTGCCTCTCAAGAAAAGATGCTCAGATTAGGTCTGGATATATTAGCCATCTGAATAAGGGTTAGAAAAAGCTTGAGCTCTCCAGTGATGTGACCTGGGTTGAAATTCCAGCTCTTCCCTTTACTAGCTATGTGATCTTTGGAGCAACACTTGAGCCCCATGAGGCTCATTTCCCTCCCATGAAAATGAGGATCCTAAGACTTCATTTACAAATAAAATTCTGAGGATTTGAGGAGATATACTGTAAGTGCCCAAGCCTAAGATCTGATGCAGAGCAGGGATTCAGTCAATAGTAGCTAGTATTAACTGAACACTTACACACTGTAGAGAAACATTATACACAACATATGAGAAATTATAAAGCATATTTTACTTACGATAAAAGTAAAGTTAAATTCCCAAATGGCATTCATAGCAAAATTAGAGATTGCAAATGAAATAAATTTTTAAAACACTTTTACTCTGATGTTCAAATCCCCAATTACAACCCAAGTGACAAGATGCCTTCCATAGAGCATACTGTACCTCTTTGATGATTTTCACCCCTCTTGGATCCTTGATATTAACAGCTATACTCTAAAAATTAAAATATATATATCTTAAAATAGTATCATAAATGTTTTTCATAGTACTAACAGTTCAATAAGGGAGCCATCCATAGCATAGATTCTCTTCTTAAAACAAATGTATTTTCCTCATGAAGAAACATTTAAATTATCTTTACTGATTTTATTTGCAATGCAGATATGTTAGGATGATAGCAAGTGTCATAGACTCTGGGTCTGGAGTTCTTTCTTGTCCAGCAAGAAACTGGGACACAGGATTAAAAATGCAAGTGAAGCTAATGTCCAGGAGGAGACAAAAGCCTGAGTAAGGGTCCTTGCTCTGTTTTTCTTAGGATCAGAAGGCTTAAAAATGTGGTGATGGATGTGCACAAAGAGACGATGAATCATGAATATTACCTCATGGACATGAGAGAAAGGAGATTTTGAATATATGTGGTGTTAGGGGTTTGGGTCAATACAAAACAAAATCCTGGCTCCAGGCAGAAGGTTGTTTACAGCAGACATGAGGCCCCACCTCTGTTTGCCTAAACTGGCCTAGGGGACAAGAGCATGCTATCTCAGGGTCAACAAAGTATCTTTCTTTTGCTAGTTAGCAACTTCGCTGGCCCATAGGGGTCTACACCTCTATTTACCTGTTTACCTAATTTGGTCCTTCCTTCTGTGAAAGCAGCTTTCTGCTATTGTACTAAGTTGGGGGGGGAGGGGGTTTCCACCCTGAATACCTAATCTTGTTTACCTCATCTTGGATGTTTTCATCCTAAAATTCCCTATTCCTATACCTTTGTCCTATACTGGGGGCCTTTGCCCTGTTTACCTAATCTTATTCACCTAATCTTGTTTACCCAAACTTGGGTGTGTACATCCTATGGCTTTCTAATTCTTTATGCCTAGTTAACCCATTGATGAAAGCTCAGGGTAGTCCTAAGCTTATTCCCCACAAGCAAGGATTATACAAAAAATTTTTCAAACTATATCAAGTGTTAGGCAATTAGCAATCTCCAAAAGAATGAAATGTAGAGAATCAAATGATTTCTTCCTCTAATAAAATTATTCCCATTATAAACCATTACAAATTCTCATGAAATTTTTAAGTTAGTCGAGAAGGAATATTAGTTTCAAAAAAACTCTATTGTTTCTATTTGGTAACTGGTGAATGAATAAAATTTCATCTTATTTGGAATATTATTTATATATACAAAAAAAAGGGTAGAAATGAATGAACCAAGGTAATACCTAAAGTTTTATTATTACAAGAAAATTACACAAAAATCAAAGAAAGAAATATTCTTACTTTTTTATTTCGATTAACACTGAGAAAATAAGTACTTTCTGTCCCCACAAAAGGTGGCCCCCAAGTTCGTGTATCATCACCAGCTCCTGAAAATAACAGTATGAGCTATTAATCTTTATCTCTGAAACATCATAAGACATTCAAACCAACCCATCATATACATTCACAGATGCCTAAACAAAATCAGCTCAATTCAGTGGAACTGGCAATCTAGAGGGGCCATAAGAACTTGCTGGAACTGTCCAAACTCAACCTGCTCATGTTAATAATGAAATCCTTCCAAATCATCTTTCACTAGAAGCCATTCCTAATAGTCAAAATCCAGAAAGAAATGCCCTACTAGCAGTCTTTAGATTTAATAAATAGCAAATCTGAAAAAAAAAATTAATAAATGGCAAATCTAAAAGAATCACTCTCAATTTTTAGCAAGCAAGTTGGTCAGCTCTTTGGGTGTTTCTCAGCATTAAATGTACAAAGAAATGCTGAGTCTGCAAAAGATTTTTGTTAAATATTATTTAAACTAGAATAATGGTAAGTGAGATTTTATAATAAAATGGCATCTTAAGAACAATGATAAATAAATAAATCTATAAATTTTTGTGAAATCCCAGAAATAAACCAAGCATATATGGTCAACTAATATTTAATGATTTAAATAAAATCAACTAACCGCTGAAGAGAAGATAAAAAGAATGGTCTGAAAATGAAGACAATGAGAATTGGGTCCAAAGTGAGGGTAGACCATTGCAGAAAAATAGAGCAGGGCAACAACAATGGAGAAAAATTTAGAAAAATCAAACTAAGCTTCAATTTGACAAGAGAGCCAAGAACACTCAATGAAGAAAAGTCTTTTCAACAAATGGTGCTGGGATAATTGGATATTCACATGCAAAATAATGAAACCGAACCTATATCTTACACCACACATCACTCACAAAAATTAACTCAAAGAAGGGGCGCCTGGGTGGATCAGTTGATTTAGTGTCTGACTTCAACTCAGGTCATGATCTCATGGTTCGTTAGTTCAAGCCCTGTGTCAGGCTTCGTGCTGACAGCTCAGAGCCTGGAGCCTGGAGACTGCTTCAGATTCTGAGTCCCTTCTCTCTCAACCCCTCTCCCATTCATGCTCTGACTCTCTTACTCTCTCTCTCTCTCTCTCTCTCAAAAATAAACAAACCTTAAAACAATGTTTTAAATTAACTCAAAATGAGTTAACTGAGTTAAATGAGTTAAAGACAACTTTAAGACCTAAAAGCATGAAACTCCTAGAAAAAACATAGGAACAAAGTTCCTTGACATGGGTCTTGGTTAATGATTTTTTTTGGATTTGACACCAAAGTACCAAGCAATAAAATCTAAAATAAACAAGTGAGACTGCATCAAACTGAAAAGCTTCTGCACAGCAAAAGAAACCATTTCACTTTGTTGAAGTGAAAAGACAACTTACAGAATGGGGAAAAAATATTTGCAAATCATATAGCTCATAACAGGTTAATACCCAAACATCTAAAGAACTCACACAAGTCAACAGCTAAAAAACAAATAACCCAATTAAAAAATGGGCAAAAGGGGGCACCTGGGTAGCTCAGTCAGTTAAGTGTCAGACTTCAACTCAGGTCATGATCTCACAGTTCCTGAGTTCAAGCCCCGTGTTGGGTGAGCTTAAGCCCCACTTCAGGTGAGTCCCACTTCTCTCTCTCTACCTCTCTCTCTCCCTCTCTCTCTGCTCCTTGCTCACATGCACCCTCTCTCTCTCTCAAAAATAAATGAATAAATACATAAACAAACAAATTTTTTTAAATGGGCAAAGGACCCAAAAAGACATTTTTCTAAAGATAGACAAAAGACCAACAGGTACATAAAAAGAAGCTCAACATCACTATTCATTGCAAGAATGCAAAATAAAACCACAACCTCACACCTGTTAGAATGGCCACCGTCAAAAAGAGACAACAAATGCTGGCAAGAATGTAGATAAAAGGGAACCCTTGTGCACTGTAGGAATGTAAATCAGTATAGCCACTATGGAAAACAGTATGAAATATCCTCAAAAAATTAAAAATAGAACTACAATATGATCCAGCAATTCCACTTCCTGGAATATATCCAAAGGAAACAAAAACACTAACTCAAAAAGATATGCATCCTATGTTCATAGCAGCATTATTCACAATAGCCAAGACATGAAAACACCTGTGTCCATTGATGGATGCATGGATAAAGTTGCAATATATATATATATATATACATATATATATATATACACACATATATATATATACACACACATATATGTATATAT